GTGTTAAGGTGTAACATATGTTAAATAAAGCTGTTATTTTTGAATTTTAAAATTTGGCTTTTTTGGGGGGAGGGGTCTGTGAACTACTAGAGTTGATAAAATTCTGCCAAACTGTTGCTTACATATACTATCTTGTAACATGCTTTCTTGAAATATTTTTGTGTTTATAGAAATGATGCTTCTTACCAGATGTGATACTGGGGATTGTAAGATGATGGAAATAAAGTCACTGTATTTTTACTTGTCTTGTGTCATGTGTAATAATCTATGATCTCTTCTGTTTCCTGTATTTGATTACATTTTCCCAAAAGAGACCATTTTTTTTCCACCCAGAAACAATTAATAGCAATATTGACCTATAAGTTTTTCTCTGTCTCAAGGGGTCCTCTGTCTTTGCGTTTAAAATTCTTAAAAGTGTTGGGGCACCTGGGTGGCTCAGTCGGTTGAGCATCCGACTTTGGCTCAGGTCATGATCTCGTGGTTGACGAGCTCGAGCCCCATGTTGGGCTCTGTGCTGACAGCTCAGAGTCCGGAGCCTGCTTCAGATTCTGTGTCTCTCTCTCTCTCTCTCTCTCTCTCTCTCTCTCTCTCTCTCTCTCTGCCCCTCCCCCGCTCATGCTCTGTCTCTGTCTCAAAAATAAACATTAAAAATTTTTTTTTTAATTCTTAAAATTACTGGGGCACCTTGGTGGCTCAGTCAGTTAAGCATCTGACTCTTGATTTTGGCTCAGGTCATAGTCTCGTGGTTCGTGGGATCGAGCACCATGTTGGGTTCTGTGCTGACAGTGCAGGGCCTGCTTGGCATTCTCTCTCTCTCCTCCCTCTCATTCTCTGTTCCTCCCTTGCTGTCTCTGTCTCTCTTTAGGTACATAAACAAACTTGAAGAAAATGTAAAAAATTCTTAAAAGTGCTTTCCCATTTAGAGTCTTGAAAGAGGAGTATCAGTATTTATTTATGCTTCCATTTGTGGTGAGTAGAGAGAATTTAGGACAAAAGCAGCAACTTTTTAATTTTTTTGAGTATAGTTGTTACACAATGTTAGGTTCGTTTCAGGTGTAACTTAGTGATTAAATTTCCCCTTACATTACGTTCTGCTCACCCTGAGTGTAGCTTCCATCTACCACCATGCAACACTATTACAATAGCATCCACTATATTCCCCGTGCTGTACTTTTATCTCCAGGAATTTTATTCATTCCATAATTGGAAGCCTGTATCTCCCACTCCCCTTCCCTCATCTTGTTTCTCTTCCCACCCCCTTTCCTCTGGCAACCATCAGTTTGTTCTCTGTGTTCATGGTCTATTTCTGCTTTTTGTTTATTCATTTGTTTTTTAGATTCTACGTATAAGTAAAATGACATGGTATTTGTTTTTCTTTGACTCATTTCACTTACCGTTATACTCTCTAGGTCCATCTATGTTGTCACAAATGGCAAGATCTCATTGTGTTTTATGGCCGAGTAATATTCCACTATGTGTATATACCACATCTTCTTTATCCATTAATCTATGCATGGCCCCCTGAGTTGCTTCCATATCTTAACTGTTGTAAATAATGCTGCAGTAAGCATAGGGGTGTGTAGATATTTTTGAATTCGTGTTTTTATTTTCTGTAGGTAAATACCAGTAGTGGAATTATATAGATCATACAGTATTTGTATTTGTAATTTTTGGAGGAATCTCGTATACGTGTATGCATGTACCAATTTGCATTCCCATCAATGATGCATGAAGATTCCTTTTTCTCTGCATCCTTGTCAACACTTGTTATTGTCATTTTGATTCTAGCCAATGAAGTGATATCTCATTCTGGTTTTGGTTTGCATTTCCCTAATGATGACACTGAGATACTGAGCATCTTTTCATGTGTCTTTTGGCCATCTGTGGGTCTTCCTTGGAAAAATGTCCATTCGTGTTCTCTGCCCATTTTTAATTGGATTATTTTTTTCGTGTTATAGAAGTTCTCTCTCTATATATTTTTAAAATTTTTTAATGTTTATTTTTGAGACCGAGAGAGACAGAGCATGAACGGAGAAGGGTAGAGAAAGAGAGAGAGACACAGAATCCGAAGCAGGCTCCAGGCTCTGAGCTGTCAGCACGGAGCCTGATGTGGGGCTTGAACTCACGAGCTGTGAGATCATGATCTGAGCTGAAGTCAGACACCCAACCGACTGAGCCACCCAGGCGCCCCTCTCTCTCTATTTTGGATTCTAACCGTTTTCTGGTTATATCATGTGCAAATGTTTTCTCTTATTCAGTAGGTTGCCTTTTTTGTTTTGTTGATGGTTTCTTTTGCTTCTTATTTTGGTGTAGCCTCTATAGTTAGTTTTTGATTTGTTTCGCTTGCCTGAAGAGACATATTAGAAAAATGTTGTTATGGCAGATGTCAAAGAAATTATCTATATTTTCTTCTGGGAGTTTTATGGTTTCAGATCTCACATTTAGGTCTGTAATCCATTTTGAGTTTAATTTTTGTGTGTGTGGTGTAAGAAAGTGGTCCAGTTTCAGTCTTTTACATGTAGCTGTCCAGTTTTCCCAACACCATTTATTGAAGAGACTTATCCTTTCTCCATTGTATATTCTTGTCTCTAAAGCAGCATCTTAAAGACTGTATTATCCTACCCCATGTCTATTTGGGGGTTTGTGTCCTTTTTTTAGCAACAGGATATACTGGGTTTTAAACCTTTACATGTTGCCTTTGGCTCTATCATGGCACCAACCGATCTTTGAGTTCACGAAACCCTCTCTTGGTGCCTACGAGATGGATTCTCCCCTGAACCTCCACCTCATGGATGTAAGCATCACCGTCTAATTCACTCTTTGAGAACTACTCACCTGAGCTCTAGCAGAAATGTGTTTGGACCTTTTTCACGGCTACTCCCAAGTCATGTCGATTCTAAGTTTGAAGTTCAAGGCTCAATGAACATTGCCAGGGTTTAAATTTCAACGAACCCAAGCAGGTGTTAAAAGGGAAAGGATGAAGGAGACATCCCTGCCCTGGTTTCCTTTCTTTAGTTGGTCAAGGGAGAACAGAACAGAAGGGCACGAAGGGAATACTCTGAGTCACTTGGAAATTGAATCCAGAATTAAAGCGCCTTCCCCTTCCCCCCAGGTATGACCATCTGCTTTGCTACTCCTGATTGACAGTGGTCTGGAATATTTGGTGTTCTGGGTTGTCTTGGTCCCCTCAGATGCAGAAAGAGAAAAGATGCATTTATTAAGGCAAAGGATGACTTATTTTCACTTCCAAGAAAGCTGAAATGAATAAAGCCTTTACTTGGGCCAAATTCAGTGTGATTTGCCTTCTTAATGAAAAATGTCAGATGAAGTAAAAATTCTTGTGTAGAACAGTTGAAAACAAATACTTCATGAGCTGGGCTGTGGGAATTACTGGATAAATTTTCCTTGATGTTAATTGTATATTGGATATACGTTTTATTTTATTTTTATTTTTTTAAATGTTTATTTCTGAGAGGGAGAGACAGAGTGCAAGTAGGGAAGGGGCAGAAGGAGAGGGAGACAGATTCTGAGGCAGGCTCCAGGCTCTGAGCTGTCAGCACAGAGCCTGATGTGAGGCTCGAACTGACAAACCATGAGATCGTGACCTGAGCTGAAGTCGGATGCTTAACCGACTGAGCCACCCAGGCACCCGTTTTATTTTTTTAAATATTTATTTATTTTGAGAGAGACTGCACGAGCTGGGGGATGGGCAGAGGGAGAGGGAGAGAGAGGGAGAATACCAGGCAGGTTCCGTGCTGTCAGTGCAGAGCCCGACGTGGGGCTCAATCTCACAAACCATGAGATCATGACCTCAGCTGAAATCCAGAGTCAGATGCTTAAATTGGTTATGTGCTTTAAATGCTAGGAACATCTGCCACATAATCTTGAAGCTGAACTTCACCTTGTTAGAGTTAACAGTAAATCTGAAAAATTAAAGTATTTGTCCTGATTCACTTAGGTCTCAAAGTAATACTTTGAAAAGGTAGAGGCCAAGAAAGAGGCATTTTAATACTTAAGGAGCCAAAAAATCTTGTCACATTGTATATAAAGTGTATTTGTAAATTTTAACCTGTAATATTTTATTTACCACTAAAATCCATTCAATATGATTTATGTCAGTTGTATGATATGCCTCAATGGCAGAGATATTAAAGTGTAAACTATTACTCCTTAGAATAATTGAAATGCAACATTAGCGTGTGTATTCCATGCATATATAGAAAGTTTTAAAACACTTAAATTGAAAAGTGGAATCCTACTTAGGTGTATTTCCTTCTTTTCCATCACTCTCTGTGGTTAGCAATTTCCACCCAAGCAACCGTGGTGGCTTTTGAGCTCTGATAGTTGCTTTCTTCCTGCCTAGTGTGCATTGTGAAAGGGGAGGTATATTGATTGTGCCGAGGCAACAAAAGTAGAGTTTTTAATTTGATTGTAATCCAAGGGCTTATTTCTAAGAGGCCTGGCAGTTGAACAAAGGTGCTTGCAGTTTCCTGACAGCTGTCCCGCATCAGGGGAATGTTCTCGTCCTACTTTAGCAGTAAGCCTTGGGAAGAACTTACATCCCAGCAAGGGCTTCTCAGTGCCCTGGAGACCTACTGTCCTGGGACATGCCTTTTCCTGGCCTGTCTTCAACTAAACTCTCTCCTGGCTCGTCATCAAGTCCTTCCCCAGATTGGCTTTCTTAACCTTTCTTTGAAATGTCATCAGTAACCCTGATCCTGGCACCAACTTTACCACTTCTTTTTTTTTTTTTTAATTTTCTTTTTTTTTTTGAACGTTTATTTATTTTTGGGACAGAGAGAGACAGAGTATGAACGGGGGAGGGGCAGAGAGAGAGGGAGACACAGAATCGGAAACAGGCTCCAGGCTCTGAGCCATCAGCCCAGAGCCTGACGCGGGGCTCGAACACACGGACCGCGAGATCGTGACCTGGCTGAAGTCGGACACTTAACCGACTGCGCCACCCAGGCGCCCCTACCACTTCTTCTTTAACTATCAGAAGAGTACAAAATGAAAACATATCCTGCCCTTGGTTTGGGTTCTTCCAGAAATAGACCTCTAGAGAAGGATTCTAGCACAATTAGTTTCTTGGGTACATGTTCTGTGAGAAGGTGATGTTGGGAAGAAAGGCAGCCAATAAGGAGTGTGTGTTAAGCCAACTGCCAGCATGGATCTGGAGCTCAATCCCATGGGACATCTGTGGAGAAGAACAGTGTGGAAAGTATGCCCCGAATGATCCCTCTTAAGGCCTAAGGGGGCTGGGCTCTTGTTTACAACAGCTTTATTGACGTATAATGTTCCCACCAGGATAGTGACCCATTCTAAGTGTGTGGTGATTTTTGGCCGATTAGAGTGTGCTGTAACTTGCACTGCAATCCACTACAAAAATAGTTTGGTTTCCTGCAGTATGCCCCACGGATCTGTCTCTTGCTTCAACAGTGTCTGGATGGAACGGATGCAGGGACGCCCCTTCTACCAGCCTCCTGACCACCCTCCAACCTTTTTTCCAGTCACAACCTTTGGAGCCATCTTCTCGGCCATCCTTTGCCTCTGGGACTGGCCAACACCCTATTTTGAGCTTAGCTCCTTCTTACCCATCAACCGTGAGCTCCCCGGATTCCTCAGAATTATTTCACCGAGGTGTAGGGAGCTGTCAGCCTCCTGGTCAACACGCACCTGCAGGCCTCCTACACCTACCTCTCTCTGGGCTTCTATTTTGACCGTGACAATGGGAATCTGGAGGGCATGGGTCATTTACTTCCACGTGTTGGCAAGGGTGCAAGGGTGTGGAGTGTCCCCGGAAGTTGCCCAGGCAGCCACACCCTCTTCCAGGACCAGGACCAGGCAGAAGCTGTTCCAGGATGAGAGTAATAAAACCCTGGACGCCACAGACACCGCCCTGGTTCTGGTGAAGAATCTGAACCGGGCCCGTTTGGCTCTGCGTGCCCTGGGTTCTGCCTGTGCGGGCCCCCATCTCTGTGACTTCCTGGAGGACCAGGATGAGAAGGGGATCAAGAAGACGGGTGACCACCTGACTCACCCCTGCAGGCGGGATGGCCCCCAGGCTGGGCTGGGCGAGTATTTCTTCTAAAGGCTCGCCCTCAAGGGGCACCTGGGTGGTTCAGTCAGCTAAGTGTCCGACTTCGGTTCAGGTCATGATCTCATGGTTCCTGAGTTCCAGCCCTGTGTCAGGCTCTGTGCTGATGGCTCAGAGCCTGGAGCTTGCTTCAGATTCTGTGTCTTCCTCTCTCTCTGCCCCTCCCCCGCTCACCCTCTGTCTCTATTCATCTGTCTCTCTCTCTCTCTCTCTCTCAAAAATAAATATTAAAAAAATAAAAAATAAATAAAGTCCTCAAGCATGACTAGAAGCCTCTGAAGCCCGGCAGCCTTTGAGGGGCCTCTCTGGCATGCAACCCCCCGGACCAGGGCTTGTGCCCGAGCCTCTCCCTGCAGCCACCAGGCAGCTTTTTAACCACCCTGGAGCCCTGTCCCAAGCCACGGACCAAATGGAAACAAAGCTGTTTGCAGCGTGCCGTGCGTGCACATACACACAGTTTTCTGGTCTTAATCATTCTTTTACTTAGCCCTCTATAGAACTTTTTTATTTTGGCCATCCTTTTTCTTTTTTAATTTTCAAAAAGCAATATCTTGTTTATTACTCTGCCTTCCATTGCAGCCTGTTCTTTGTGGGTGCAGTGACTTAGAAGAGTTAGTCCTGTTTTATTTTGATAATTCTTAGTGAAGTATCTCAGGCCTTAGTTAGCTGGTTTTCACTTTAATTTTCATGGAAGAGAATACGAAGTGATCCTTGGCCATTTCTGTGAATGAATGCGCTGAACTGACTTGTGTCACTTCCTGGGAACTGTTTCTTTTCAGGGCCATTCATCCCCAAAACCACTTCCTTGCATGGGGAGGCTGAGTGAGGGTGTGTATGAGTAGTGTCCTGGTAGAGGCTGATACCCTTTCAGGGACTGAGCAGGTGGGAGACAGGTAGGCTGGAGACCAGATGCTGGAGCTGCCTTTCCTCCTTTTTGCTTTGGGTCTATTTCATCGTGTACTACTCAGCTTCTCCTGCCAACCAGAACATTGTATCTCTCTGTCTAGGAAACATTTCTTAGCGTATAAGCATCTGAGCTCATGCTCACCCAACTCTGTGTGTGTGTGTGTGTGTGTGTGTGTGTGTGTGTGTGTGTGTGTGTTTGGACGGGTTGGGCCAGCTATGATGCAGCCAGCGCCGCAGTAAATCATCCCCACTGCCTCCTGCAAGCTGGGAGACTTTGTGGAGCTCCCCTGTGAATGTTAGCCCCATATCCCTGCAGCTTTCTCTTGACCGTATTCTGGGCTGTGCTTCCCTTCTTTCAGCTTGTCCAGTAATATAATTGCATATATTTCCTATCTTTCAGAAGTGATCTTTCTGTTGATGGTACCATCTTTGTTGCCAACACCACTTTGGGTTTCTTCATTTTTGTATCCCGTTATTGTCATTTCAAGGTGATTTTAGTAGGAGGAGGAGACAAACACTGCCCACTCTCCTGAATTGGGGTCCCCAGCTCGGTTTCTCATAGCCAGGGAGGTGGCCTTGGGAAGAGGGCTCTGGGTTTGGTTCACAGACAGCCAAGCCTGCCCAGGCAGCACTCCCTCAGCTGCCAAAAATTGCTACGTGGGTGGGAAGTGATCAAGCCGTCCCAGCCTCACTCTGGCCCCACCCCAAGTCTCCTTGGGCAGTAGAGAAATGTTCAACCCTCGCCTCCTTTGAATCAGTAGCCTTCTGGGCTCTTCCTGCTGTTGTTCAAGGGTTCAAGGCACTGAGATCAGAATTCCTTTTTTTCCACTTGTCCCACCTCATTGCAAAATGTGGCACAGTGATGAAGTGTTAACTAATCATTGGATAATTTGTTTCCAGTCTGTGGGGTGGAGAAAAGAGAATGAAAACAGAGCTTTGCTGGCTCAGCACAAAGACAGCCAATGGGCAGGCTTGCAGGGCCTAGCAGAAAACCTAACTGGGTGGAGGGAGACCCAGGAGCCAGATGACAGGTGCCAAGGTCCAGCACAGTGACAAGGTGGAAGTTCCATCTGTTTTGCTCATTTGAAACTTGAGGACCAACCTGCAGTCAGCCAGGAGGCCAGGGCTACAGATTCTCAGCAACAGCCTCTGATCTGCTGTTACCCTCCAGGTTGATGAGATGGGAGAAACCCAGAGAAGCACAAAGATAAAGAAGATAAGCAAATGTAGGCAAACCTCAACTGCTTAGATAGCAGTAATGTCACACTGACTTTTCCTCTGTGGGATATAAGAAAGGATTGGTGGACACTGAGGGTTGAGGTTGTCAAGCTTAAGGTTGGTGGGAAATACCTTTATTTATTTGATTGTGAAAGCCTCCTAAAGTGAGTCACCGAGGAAGGAATGAAAGAGGAGGGGCTGTGATGCACTGTCAAGAAAGCTAAGAACTTTCCCACTTGCTGAGCCCTGCTGGGTTGAAGAACAGGACAGAAGACGCAGAACAACATCATGGAGAGCCCACTGCCCCATGAAGCTGTGGGGCAGCATTTCATGGCAGGAGGCAGCCTGACTTGCTCTTCCACCTCCAGAAACTACAGAGGTGCTTATTGAAATGGGTACCAGCCCAGTCCCTGCAAGTGAGGACCTGCTTAACAAAAAGGCATATCCTATATCCTAGGATATAGTATTCTAGTATCCTAGGATACCACATCATTGTACACAAAAATATTCTCTGCCTTATCCAAAGTCTGGATGTTTTTCCCTGCTGGTAGACCAATCCAGTAAGTTACTCTTCTGAGATGGATTGCTTTGTTTGGAGAAATCTTGCACATAGAAAACTTTAAATTCAAGGGCACCTGGGTAGCAGCTCAGTCGGTTAAATATCCAACTCTTGATTTCATGGTTTGTGGGTTCAAGTCCCACTTCTCTGTCTCCCTCCCTCTCTCTCTCTCTTTGCCCCTCCCCTGCTCGTGCTCTCTCCCTCTCTCTCAAAAATAAATAAACAAACTAGGGGCACCTGGGTGGCTCAGTTGGTTAAGCATCCAACTTCGGCTCAGGTCATGATCTCAGAGTTCACAAGTTCAAGCCCCATGTTGGGCTATGCACTGACAGTTTGTGGGTTCGTGCCTACATCAGGCACTGTGCTGACAGCTCGGAGCCTAGAGCCTGCTTCAGATTCTGTGTTTCGCTCTCTCTCTACCCCTCCCCTGCTTGTGCTCCATCTCTCTCTCTCTCTCAAAAATTAAAAAAAAATATTTAAAATAAAAATAAACAAACAAAAAACTGCCCCAAAAACATAAAATTAAAAAATAATTAAAAAATTTTTAATTTTGAATTAATTTTTGACTCACAGAAAAGTTGTAGTTCGAGAGTACCCATCTACCCGCCCCAACTTTCCTGATGTTAACACAGCCACGTTGCAATGATCACAATTGGCACTAGATGAACCAACAACAGGAAATAAATATTCTCTTACCTACACTACAGGTCTTTAATTTTACCATTTTTGCCCTCACTAATGCCCATTTTCTGTTCCAGGATCCTGTTCAAGATCCCACTTGTTCTTGAACTCCTCCAGTCTATTGCAGTTTCTTCATGTTTCTTTGCCTTCTATGACTTTAATACTTTTGAAGAGTATTTCTGAGGAGTCGAATGTCCTTCAATTTAGGTTTGTCTGCTGTGTTCTCGCAATTAGAATGAGGTTGTGTATTTGGGGCAAGAATGCCACAGAAGTGATGTTTTGTCCTTCTCAGTGCATCATAGTGAGGGTTAATAATGTCTGATTCCTGGTCATTTTAATATGTTGACTGGGTTTCTCCTTTGTAAGGTGCTGTCTTTCTCTTTGCAGTTAAGAAATATCTTGGGGGACATTTGTACATTTAAAAGTTTGTACCGGGGCACCTGGGTGGCTCAGTCGGTTCAGCATCCAACACTTGGTTTCAGCTCAGGTCATGATGTCACGGTTCATGGGTTCGAGCCCCGTGTCAGGCTCTGCGCCCGCTTGAGATCTCTCCCTCCCTCTGTCTCTGCCCCTCCCTGGCTCGTGTGTGCTCTCTAAATAAATAAATAAATAAACTTAAAAAAAAAATAAATAAAAGCTTGTACATTTAAAATGTACAGATAAGTGGCACAAAAACAGACACATAGACCAATGGAATAGAATAGAAACCCCAGAACTAGACCCACAAACGTATGGCCAACTCATCTTTGACAAAGCAGGAAAGAACATCCAATGGAAAAAAGACAGTCTCTTTAACAAATGGTGCTGGGAGAACTGGACAGCAACATGCAGAAGGTTGAAACTAGACCACTTTCTCACACCATTCACAAAAATAAACTCAAAATGGATAAAGGACCTGAATGTGAGACAGGAAACCATCAAAACCTTAGAGGAGAAAGCAGGAAAAGACCTCTCTGACCTCAGCCGTAGCAATCTCTTACTCGACACATCCCCAAAGGCAAGGGAATTAAAAGCAAAAGTGAATTACTGGGACCTTATGAAGATAAAAAGCTTCTGCACAGCAAAGGAAACAACCAACAAAACTAAAAGGCAACCAACGGAATGGGAAAAGATATTTGCAAATGACATATCGGACAAAGGGCTAGTCTCCAAAATCTATAAAGAGCTCACCAAACTCCACACCCGAAAAGCAAATAACCCAGTGAAGAAATGGGCAGAAAACATGAATAAACACTTCTCTAAAGAAGACATCCGGATGGCCAACAGGCACATGAAAAGATGTTCAGCGTCGCTCCTTATCAGGGAAATACAAATCAAAACCACACTCAGATATCACCTCACGCCAGTCAGAGTGGCCAAAATGAACAAATCAGGAGACTATAGATGCTGGAGAGGATGTGGAGAAACGGGAACCCTCTTGCACTGTTGGTGGGAATGCAAATTGGTGCAGCCGCTCTGGAAAGCAGTGTGGAGGTTCCTCAGAAAATTAAAAATAGACCTACCCTATGACCCAGCAATAGCACTGCTAGGAATTTATCCAAGGGACACAGGAGTACTGATGCATAGGGGCACTTGTACCCCAATGTTCATAGCAGCACTCTCAACAATAGCCAAATTATGGAAAGAGCCT